TCATCGTCATCATCATCATCATCATCATCATTATTATTATAGTCTTCTATTTAATAAGTGCACTGGAGCAGTAACGAAAGTGTTCTCCTGTTTATAAAACAAGTAGCCTACATTACCGGGCCAAAGGGCGAAATGCGATACACAAGCGCGGGGCGTGAACACGAGCGCGCTCGTCGCTCGTGTATCTCGTTTGTGCTCTGCCTCGCTAATCCACCTGTTCGGTAGGCTAAAAACATGCCACCCAAGTGCGAGATTGTGTCGCTAAGTCGAGAAGTCTGGCAGACTTTTTCAAATTCTGTCGTGGTGTCTAGGTAAAGTCGGTAAAAAGAATTTAATTTGCTCAGTGTTGCTTGCTGTTTTGTGAACATTTTTTGCACGAGTTAAAGTCAGTTACCCATAATTTTAGAACTTTTCTGACCAAAATGTAGCAAACTCACCGTGATAGTGTAACACAAGGGCCAGCCGGGTGAATATTGTTCGTTCTTGCTAACGTCTATCATTGTCTGATTCAATACATCCTTCCAGGTCGATATCTGTTCAGATTTCACAGAAATAAACGTGATATTAAACACAAGGATTTCAGAAAACAGACACAAATGTTACGATGCAATGTACTCACCGACATCGCTCAATATATTGCGTGATGCTTCACAAACGTACTTCATCCTCTCTTGTGCTTCATGAGCCCTGCAAAGGGAGCTGCAGTACCGAGCAAACATTTTCTCTCAATCTATATCCTTTCTGGCCGTGCACTCCTCATTTAAAAGTCTCAGCTTCTGCCTCCAAGGCACAGCAGAAAGAAAATGAACAGCTAGAACTGTTTGCTCTCCACTGTAGACGACTGCCGATTTACAAATACCGATTTTATAGTTCAACACATTGACCTTATCTCGTGACCGTAAAAGGGTGACAGCCAGGCCTTCACCCACTCTCCCCTAGGTGGTGGCGTTTGCCACTTCACACGAAAAGGGCACTATTCTCTGTATTATAAGGCCAGGAGGGGCGAGAGGCGTTAGGGGCGTAGCGTGCGTTTTTCGTGGAGTACGCAACGAAGAGAAAGTTAATTGAGCGGCGAAGGTGCGAGCTGCTCTGAGGGTTAAAAGTCATGCCCCCAAGGAAATTTTCCAGGCAGCAATTATGGAAAACGTTGAGTATTTAGTAACTTATGTTGTTTTAGATACTCAGCCAGTTTGGGATAATTGATAGTAGTCACTAAAGACTGTCAAAACAGCCGATTTAATTATTGAAGACCCTTTTTGACGAAAAAAATTGGTAATTTTTTTTGGATTTCCGGATGTGCGTACGTGCCAATACGATCGCTACCCCGTTGTCTGTTAGTTTGATCGGCAAGTGATGTCAGCTCTTCAGTAAAATGCGTATATAGGTATGTGCAGCCCCAAAGGGTATGGTTTTTCAGCCGTTTTGTTCATAAACAGGGTATCGATTTTAGCTGATTTTAGCCATTCTGGTCATAAATAAAGCATGGATTTTGTACCCTAGCCTTGGTTTGGGTATGTTTTTAGGAAGCCACTTTTTCGTCATTATCGAAAACATTGGTCTGAACTAGGGAACTAATTATAACGCAGGTCTGAAACAGGGTTAGGTCATAAATAGGGTTTCGAATTTATGGTCAGGTCATAAATAGGTTGGGGAATATCGCAGATTTTAGTCATAAATAGGGTGAGTGTTTTGGGAAGCGGGCCGCACACCCCCGGCCAATTTTTCGGGGTGTGCACCCCCTCCTCCACCCCCACTGGAGTACTCACACTTCTTCAGTGTCGCCACTCACTGCGACCGTAAGATAGTTGCGGAAAGTTGAAGAAAATTTTCGGTTTCGTTTCCCATAGGGAGCTTTAGCAATGACGACGGCGACGCCGAAGACGACGCCTTGTAAGAAATGGATTTATATTTTACCTTCGAATGTCACAACAGTGTAGGTCTGTAAAGTTTCATATATCAGCAGCCGAAGTATAAGGCTGAAGATGATGATGACGCTAGCTTACCACTTATTTAGACTTTCGTCGCACCCGTCTTGAATTTATTTGCGACGTTCTCTCTACTTTTCATTCCACTTTGCTTTCCAGTGACAATAGGGAGCTTTAGCAGATCACGACGGCGACGCCAACGAGGACGTCACCAAGCAAAAGGTTTAATGAGCAAAACAATGGTTCTGCACGTGCGTATTGAATCTTTGTACATTTCTAAGTCATTATCTACGAAACAACAACGTGAAATGATCAAGTTCTACGTATTTTGGAGAACGTGAACCACAATGGCTAATTTTTCGTATCTTCCTTTGGAATTGAACGCTGTCATTGCATATTTAGCCTGAGCAAGTTCTTAGACTGACAGGCGTAAGTACAGTTGTGACATTCGAAGTTTAAAATAAAAATCCATTTCTCACAAGACGTCGTCCTCGGCGTGGCCGTCGTTATTGCTAAAGCTTCCTAATTGTCACAAATGACACTTCATGCCTGCTGTTGTAGTAATTGCTTTTTCAGTGACTGACCTGACTCTAGCGATGTCGTTGCTAGAACATTCGATCGCCAGTAATCCGAGGTTGGGGCTACCGTCTGAATCCTTCAAAGCTTCAAAGAAACTTCAGAATGTCGAACGAGTGAATGACTTATATCACAACGACTGTCCAAAACGGTGAAATCTGAATAGTTATTACAACATTAATGCCTGCTTAGCGGGCGCTTGCTACTCTGAGCTAAAGCTAAATGTGTTATTGTGTAGAACTAGTATACCTAATCACAGTTAAAAGAGGACACTGGTTATGAAGCCCGACAAACATCAAATGAGCAAACAAAGATTTCAAGATTTATGTTCGAAGGTCTACGACCATGCACAATCTTTTATTTTGCGCTCATACACTGTGCATGAATTACGTAACCAAAACGTTTCTATTGGTTAGTTCCTCAGTACGGAGTAAACAATTATTGTCTTTTGTGCACGGTCAATGCCAAAAAAAGCGAACAAAAACATACAACAAAGAACTTTGTCGGGTTTCATAACCATTCCCCTCTGTTAACTAGTTGTCAGAGTGGTGACATCTGACAATGGAGCTCTACTGAAAACGCTGACGTCATTCACATCACGTCCGTTGTTATGCGCACAAATGAGGGTTGCTTTCTCAAAGCGTATCCTGGTATCAGGGTAATTGGCAGCAATATCGCGACCGTAAAATTGTACGGGAAGGAAGAGTATGTTCTACCCCCAATATCATTCGCTTTCAATTGAAAGATGTAGATATTTTTACATTATTACAATGCCGGAAAATATCCGTTTTTGTGACAATTCAGACACGTACATCTGCCGACATTGCAAAGTTCCAAATTGGCAAAAAGGTTTTTATTTCTGAAGTGAAGCAATGAAAAGCAAAATGCAATTAAAAGTAGAGAGAACGTGGCAAAAAAAATTTAAGACGGGTGCCACGAAGGTCTCAAGGTGGCAAGTGTTATCATCTTTAACCTTCTGCTTCCAAGTGAATTACCCACCCTTGTGTCATCTGGATGTCACAAATTACACTTCATTCGTGTTGCAGTAGTTACTTTTTGACTAACCTGACTGTAGCGATGTCGACGCTCGAATATTCGTGTAATCCAAACTTGGAGCTTCAACGAAATTTCAGAATGCGGAATGAGTGAATACTGAAAGAAATGCGGCTAATATCACGACCACGATCAGAACTGTGAAATCTGATTGGTTATCAGCTCATTAATATGACAGTGAACATGTCATGACCAGACTCCCGCTTACACGACCTTCAACTGGTGGGCGCTTCAAGCTACTCTGATTTGCGATTTGTGAATAGCACCCCTACTTTGAATAGCTTTTGGGTGCCTTCCCTCTGCTCGAAAACGTGATTGGATCATCTTGAATGGTGGTAGGAATCAGCTGACCAACCGAAAGAGATGATATCTTAATTACCGTTTACATTTCAGATCATTTCAGCTGAGCAGTAAACAAGCAAGCTGGCGACACCGAAATTTCTGTGTGGCATTCCGCTTGAAACGGAAAAGAGTGCCCTCACAATTTCCGCGCATGAAATCAAAGGTGACCAAGCTCGCCTTTTTTTTTTGTTTGTTTGTTTGTTTTGTTTTTTGTTTTTGTTTTTGTTTTTTTTGCGGGTATATTGACCTCGACTCCATCTCGGTCCATAAACATGCCAAAAAAAAAATTAATAATTTGGCCAATATCCAGCTATCGTGACCTCACGCTTGGTTAATAACCCATATATAGATGTTTACTAAGCACATTTTCGAATTCGGTGGGCACGAAAGCTCACGAATTCTCCTGGCTCGTCACGGAAAAGTAGCGATTATGTGACCAGCTAACTGAATTGTGGGATACTAATAATAATAACTTTATTTAAGTGTCAAATGTATTTAGCACTATTAAATGTGCTAACTGGGGACACTGTAAATAAATAAACAAATATTCAAATATAACATAAACTATTAAGAATCCCAACTGGTTGGAGGCTGACCAGTTGGCTATTTACACAACGCGGTCGAGGAGTTGAACTCGGGGCTACCGAGAACAAATCCAGTGGAGGATGGAGAGTCTAGTGGTTCCTTTTTCTTGATATATTTTCAAACAATAGCGTTTATGTCTTATAGGATTTGCATCAAATTTAGTTCAGCAAAACGCGGGCGTAATGTTTGGCACAATAGTTTGAAATGTTGTACGTGAGAGGAGTCATGTTTTTACGCTTCCGCTTTCGGTACGTGACCATGACCGTGACATGTCACGCTATTAGAGTCTTTGTTGTTGAATGTGCAGACAGAGTTACATACATAAACAGAGACCAGAGGGTTGCACATCAAAACAGCGATGTTTCGTTTGATTCAGAGCGCAGCTCGCTTGAATAGATTGCAAAGAAAGATTTGCTCTCAAAGTCTGTGGAATTCATGTCAGACAGTTGCACAAACACAGAGTTTGCGTTGCGGAGCAGCCCTGCCAACGACCCGCCATTTTCATAGCTCACAACAATATCAACGGGAGTTACGCGAATACGATGAGGTGTTTAAGAAATCCATAGAAGAACCAGAAGAATTCTGGGGAGACCTGGCAGACGAAATCGACTGGTATAAACCGTTTGCGAAAGTAATGGACAATTCTAAACCACCCTTTACAAAATGGTAGGTACTATTGAACGCAAGCCTAATGTTTTTGCATTAAAAAAGGTTGAGGCGAATTGATTTAACATGATATAAATACAATTTAACAACATTGATTTCCCGTTTATGTTCTGTGTGAACGGAGAGTTTAAGCATGACGTTTACGGCAGGCGGCAAACGGCAAAGATTACCTCTGATTTTTTATTCTTTTCTTGAATCCGTAAATAAATCACACAAAAATGGAAAAATGTCTTCTACTATTCACCGCAAATACAAATATTTTCACTCTACTGTACAGACAGCTGAAGACAGACGGCAAAAGTTTCATTTTCGCCGTTTGCCGTAACGTCAAACGTTCGTAAAACCTAGTGAAGTTGATCGCAAAAATACGGAAGATCTCCCCATTCCCAGCTTCCTGAATCTTTCTCTCGGTCATTCCCTTAAACAGTTGTTTGATATTTAGCAGACAGCTTTTTAGGCCAGGGCGATTTTCAGGTGACTAACAGTCTAAAGCAAGTATTTTAAATTAGCAGCTCAAGTGTCAATTTCTGGTCTCATAAAATCACGGAGCTGATAATATGATCAGCAAAGGGAGTATATTTTGATAATCAAAATAAGTGGGTGATTTTCCTTTGTTTCTCGCAATGTGAATGTTCCTAGTGTTTTTTTTTCTTTGAGTTATAGCAACACTCGCGAAAGCTTGGGAGAACATGAAAAGGCTATGGAAACATGCCTGCAGCTTGAATTACCATGGCATGCAGGGGTTGTGGGAGGGGACGGGGGGAGGGGTGTACTCCCCAAATTTTTTGCAAGGGTTGTGGGACTCAACCCTTGAAACCTGTACCCTATTTCAGACCGAAATCTTTGATTTCCTGTTTTCTAACATGTACAAATTAATTGAAGGTTTGTTGGTGGTGAGATGAACACCTGTTATAACTGCCTTGACCGGCACATTGAAAGAGGGAAAGGAAGACATACAGCTTTGATTTATGACAGTCCACTGACTGGCAAGATAGAAATGTATTCCTATCAAAACCTACAGGCCTTGGTAAGAACTGAGCCCGTACTTGTTTTCTTGCTTGACACCACAAATTATTAGAGAAACATGATAGAATACTTGGGTTTGAGCATAGAGTAACTGCAGTGAACTCCTGCTAGTGAAGTTTATATTGAAACAGAAAATCCATCTTGTGTGTCTGTTACCTTCACCTAGGATTTTAACAGAGTTTACTAACTTGCTCCCTTGCTTAAACATACTTGCTTTTTACTGTCTTTGTTTTGTTCCATTGTGTAATGTTTACTAAATTTGTGAATTCTATTTTAGGTGGCAAAGTTTGCTGGTGCACTTGCACAATTAAATGTTGGAAAAGGAGACCGAGTTGTGATTTATATGCCAATGGTTCCTCAGGTATAAATGAATAATACACTCAGTAATGGTGCACCATGTTCCATTGATTTTAGCAAGCTTGAGGGTAAATATTTAACTTATCACCTAGTGCTGTAGGTCTGCAAAGAAGTACACTTGTAAAAGGTCATAGCTGCACGCATTGACTGCCTTTATGCTTTTCAATTCTTGCATCTATTGCCTGCCCATCCCAATAGGTATGCCATAATTGGAAACCTGGGCTGCACCTAATGTCAAAGCTAGACAAAAAAATATTATGCTATTTTAGATGGAGTTGGCGTTTTCACTCAGTTTGGCAGTAATTATCATTACTATAGCAATGAAACTTACTTGCTCTATGGACACCTGCTTGGTGCTGTCAACTCTTTCTCTTTGGCAGTTGTTAATAATCAGATCAATATTTTAATTATTAGTTCTGGGTGTTCTCTAGGCTATTATTGCCATGTTGGCTTGTGCTCGACTTGGTGCAGTCCACTCTGTTGTGTTTGGGGGTTTTGCTGCTCAGGAGTTAGCAAGGAGAATTGAGCATGCTGAGGTAAGTAAAGAAAATTTCATGTAATGTTTATTACTTTTTGAAAAAAAAAATTTTCTTCAGTTAGTTTCTTATGGATTAAATTTCACTGTTTTCATTGATGTTTGTTGTTGGTGTCCGTCTGTCTCGGTAGACAATGGACTTCTGCGCCATGATTTAGTTTGTGGTTGAGTAGCAGTGCCTGATCAGCAGGCTCTGTTGCAGTTGTCGCAGGTGAAAGTCGCGCCTGGCTTTAAGGGCAAGGAATCTGCCCTCTGCCGTCTACATGATTACTGATACATGATTACTGTAAAATATAACAAAAGAATATATGGAAGTTTGTTCTTTAAGTTAGTGTAAATAATGACATTATAGTTAGCAATTTATCACAGTATGCAAAATATTAGATTAATAAATATTACTCATTTATTTACTAAAATGCATTGTTATCATGTAGCCACGTGTGGTAGTGACTGCATCTTGTGGTATTGAGCCAACCCGTTTAGTGTATTACAAACCTATTTTGGATGAAGCCATCAGGTTGTCCAGCTACAAACCTTCAACTTGTATTGTGTACCAAAGAGACCAGGTAATTGTCAATCAGATTGGTTTGTTTCTTCCATAAATTCCAGTTGAGACTTCCTGCCTCAAAATTTGCATTTCTTCTCCTTTCTTTCTCTAGAAAAATAACCAAAAAATGGTTAATTGAGTAGCCTCTTCCAGTATAAAAGTATAGCATAATTAAGTGCATTGTAGAGAAATAAAATGTAGCAAGTATGTAACTTGTACGTTTATGCAATTTATCTTTAATAAAAAAAGAGCATTGTAAGTCAGCCAACTGTAATTTAATTAGCATGATTGTATTATAATACATGTATTGTGACTAGTGCATGTATAAATAGTGTAAGTGTAAGTAGTGTAAGGAGCAAGTACAGTGTAAGAGTAAATGTAAGTATAATATTAGTGCTGCAAGCAGTGTAAGTGTTCGTCTTGTAAATAAAATTGCATAATTTATAAAAATAATAATATTTTTTCCGCAGGTATCAGTGGTGGTTAAGTCTTGCAGCGACTTCCCCAAGCTTCATTTTCGCTAATTTAGTGGC